TTTCTCCTGTCATTCTGTCAAGGTGTAGAGTTAAAAGAAATTCAATGGGTGTTCTTGATTTTGTGAAATGCTAATTTCAAATTTAAACTCTGATTGAATTTGTGTTTCTGTTTGATTAATCGAAAGGAAATAAAAATGTTGTTGCAGTCTGCAGGCGAGTTACAAGACCGCCTTCTGTTGCTGGTTATTTTTTTCTGTCAGGAACTGATTACTGATCTCCTGTGAGAAACTTCAGTATGGCCGAGAGACCCTCAGAAGCACCGGTTCCTGCTAATAGAGGCTCGGTTGCTGATAAATACAAGTACAGAAAAGCATTATGCAGGACTTTTCAGTCTACTGGAAACTGCCATTATGGGGACACATGCCCATTTTCTCATAATACCTGCAAGTTCAACTTTAAGAGCAGATGCCCATATGGTGAAAAATGTGTTTTTTGGCATACAGAATCAGATTATAACGCAGAGTCGAGAGAGGGCAACAGCAGAAGCAGGAGAAGAGCAAGAAGGCTTGACGTCCGTAGTCATGGTTCTGTAAGCAGTAACGCTCTTGGACAAGAAGGTAATAGGCTGTGTTTTATGTGCACTTTGAAATTTGGCTGTTTTCCTTCAGCAAATTAGTAAGTATTTGTGTTCTGTAGATTGAGACTAGAGTTCTTTGTAAAATTACTATGCTGTCTAAGATAACATGTGAAACTTCAATACAGTAGGTTACTGCTTTATTGTTTCTTAAAATTTGACATAATGTATCAATGTATGAGTGTATGAGAACTGAAATATGTGAGATACATTCGTGGCAAATGAACTGAATGATTTGAATTCTTGAAGATGTAAAGTCATGTAACGGGGTATGAATCTGAATTAAGGAATGAGCATTGTTGGTGGTGCAGACATTTAACTAAATGTTGCAACTAAATCCCTGAAAATTTAGGCAATTATAGACCAATGTATGCTTTCTAGTCACAGCTATGTGTTAGCCGTCATCGTCGGTTTGTTCACTTTATTGCTAAGAATTGCATCATGGTTTGGATGGTAGCTGTGACACCATGTATCTATAAAATTGCTGCTTCAAGTTCAGAAACCAAATCCTGTCAGTATTTCGAAACAGAAAGTTTGACACAGGCATTGTGTTTAGCCTTTTGTACTAATTGTAACCAAACTTTAATTTATAGCTTTGTTTTAATGTATATATGGGATATAATTGTGGTTATGTTTATTAGACTTATGTAAGAATAATAGGCTTTCTTCTTACCATATGTCCATATTTCTCGAGTTTTGTTTCAGGTTCGAGTAGTTCTGCACCTGTACTTGCATCAGAATCAGGAAATGCACAAACTGCTCCTAAGACCTTGGTCAATGCAGAGGTTCAGAATCCGCTCAAACTAACTGGTTCCAAGCACGAAATGTCACCACGAGAAGTGAGCACATTCAAATGGAAAAGGTCCAAGAAATATGTAGGCATCTATGCTGATTGGATTGATGAGGAATCCTCGGTGCCTGGTTCGGCTAGTGGGAGTCAACAATAAGTATTGGATTTGGGTTTGGTACTTGTGGTGGAACTTGGCAACAGTATGTATGTAAGGGGAGTTCAGATATACCGTTATAGAAGTGCAGAAAAAAGGTCTTGAAGTGTATGTATTAGAATCCATTCAAGTTTTTGTTAGCAAGATAACGCTTGGATGGTGTAGATATTGTTCTGCAACTGTATTAGACATATAGAAGTAGATAAACCGCACATGCCATAGATTGATCTTTTCATTGACAGGGAAAGTCTGATATTATTCACAAACCCGACTGGAATTTATAATACTTGCCCGTAAGGGATAATAGTGTGTTTAGTGTTTAAAGAAGAGAGGATGTACTAGAGTATTTGCTGTGTTTTTGTTGTTTTGAAGCTTGGTGTATATACTCGTAGTAGAGTAGAAGCCAACGACCACCATAAGAAAAGGGTGAAAATATCACTTAAAGGTGCAATTAAACATCCATTAAGTTCCTAGGTCGTAACAGTTTGCAACAATTTGACTTTATTATAAACAAATTAATTTAATCATATTTTTAAGAAAAATCTAATATTGAAAGTTTTGAGAATGATTTAGTTAACCAGATTTGTAGAAAATTAAATTATACTTGTAAGAAGTATATTGAATCAATACATGTATCACATACGTATAAAAAAGTATATAAAAAAAACCGTTAGTACGTAATCTATGGGTAACCCGTATAATTAATTTGATACAAAACTCATCTGATACCAAAAAAAATTAATTTTCTCATTCCCGGGAAAAAAGAGAACATTATAAAACGGAACAATTTCTAATGTTACACCAATAATACTCCCATTTCTGTCCAATTGCATTACTCCCATTTTTGTCACTTTAAAAAAATTTCAAAAGAAAGCAAAGAATAGTTTTCTTAGTCATTCTTACATGATCTTAATCTTGAAGCCTTCTTGCTCAAATACTACAGGAGTTCGTCAATCTCAGGCAAGAAATTTATTATTGTAATTTGAGTCTTATAATATTAGCCATTTTATGATTGTAAACCCAAATGATCTTTAACTTGTTATAATGTGTTAAGGATTGAAAATTGATAAAATGGAAGAAGCTTGATGAAGGGGTTTTAGGGGTGTTGATTTTTTTAAAATCTAAGTTAATATGTGATTGTGGGTCGAAATTATAATCATGAAAAAGGGCTTAGATGTTAATGTCTGTGTTAATTTTGATAATTTTGGGAAAGATTAGGAGTTAAGTAACCCCAAGAAAGAAGGGTGGCTCTGAATTTTCTTGGATCATGTATTTTTCACCAATTTCTGCTTATTATGGGAATTGAATTCTTGAATTATGGGTTTTTGTTTCTGGGAATTTTTTGTTGTTTGAAAATGTTACTGTGTTATTGTTAAATTTTCAGGGAAAAAAAAAAAAAAAAAGACAATGCAAGTTGTTCTAAATTTCTCCTGTCATTCTGTCAAGGTGTAGAGTTGTTTAAATGAAATTCAATGGGTGTTCTTGATTTTGTGAAATGCTAATTTAAACTCAGATTGAATTTGTTTTTCTGTTTGATTAATTGAAAGAAATAAAATGTTGTTGCAGCCTTGCAGGTGCATATGTGATAGATCCTGACTTAGTCTGCAGGCGAGTTACAAGACCGCCTTCTGTTCATCTGTTGCTGGTTTTTTTTCCCCTCTCAATCAGGAACTGATTACCAATCTCCTATGACAAACTACAGCATAGTCGAAAGACCCTCAGAAGCGCCGTTTTCTGCTAATAGAGGCTCTTTTACTGTTAATTACAAGTACAAGACTCTTCCATGCAGGAACTTTTGGTTTACTAGAAGATGCCATTTTGGGGACAGATGCAAATTTTTTCATTTACCTGAGGAAAGTCAGAGAAGTTGCAGGTACAACTCTAGGAGTACATGCCCTTATGGTGAACGATGTATGTATCCGCATAGAGAATCAGATTATTATGCAGGAAGGAGGGAGGACTTGTATACAGAGAACTCTGCTAATAACACTCAGCCAGTGGATGTTGATTCATGGTGCAACACAAGGGAATGTACAAAGTTAATGATTGTTGACAATGACATCAATACTAATGGTTCCGTATGCAATTATGCTCTTGGACAAGAAGGTAATAGGGTGTGTTGGCTGTTTACCTTCAGCAAATTATTTAGTATTCGTGTTCTGTAGTTTGTGACTGGAGTTCTTTGTTAAACTTCAATACAGTAGCTTACTGCATTATTGTTTATAAAATTTTGACATGTATGAGAACTGAAATATGTGTGTCACATTTGTTGAACTACAATCCTTGATAATTTAGGCGAATATGGACCAATTTATGCTTTCTAGTCACAGCTATGTGCTAGCATTCATCATCAGTTTGTTCACTTTGTTGCTATGAATTGCATTGTGATTTAGATGGTAGCTTGCCTGTAACACCATGTATCTATAAAAAATTGCTGCTTCAAGTTCATAAAACAAATCTTGTTTAAGTATTTCAAGCATGAAATTTGAAGCAGAAAGTTTGACTCAGTTTCAAATGTGTATATTATGTTAGGCTGGCTTCAGTGCATTCATCACTAGCTATGAAAATTGGTTGACACAGGCATTGTCTTAAGCCTTTTGTATTAATTGTAACCTATTTTGAGTTATCTTAAGCTTTGTTTTAATGTATTTATGTGGATATACATGTGTTTATGCTTGACTTGTTCACATTTAAGAAAAATTAGATTTCTTCTTACCATATCTCCCATGTTTCGTTTCAGGTTCAAGAAGATTCGCACCTGTACTTGCATCAGAATCTGAAAATGCACATGCTGCTCCTAAGACCTTGGTCAAGAATGCCTTTCCTAGTGAGGTTCAGAAACCGCTCAAACCAACTGCTTCCAAGCACAGACTGCCACCACCACGAGTGAGCTCATTCAAATGGACAAGGCCCAAGAAAATTGTTGGCATCTACGCTGATTGGATTGATGAGTAATACTCGGTCCCTGGTTTGGCTAGTGGGCGTCAACAATGAGTAGTAGTATTAGATTTGGTTTCATGTCAGGGTAACTCTAGATTTGGGTTTGGTACTTGGGGTGGAGCTTGGAAACAGTACATAAGTAGAGTTCAGAAATACCGTTATAGAAGTGCAGAATTAAGGTCTTGAAGTGTACGTATTAGAATCCATTCAAGTTTTTGTTAGCAAGATACCACTTGGATGGTGTAGATATTTGTTCTGCAACTGTATTAGACATAGAAATACATAAATTGTGTATACCATAGATTGATCTTTTTCATTGAGAGGGAAATTCTGATAGTATTCCTGTTTCTATCTGTTGTCATTGCTAAGTTGTGCTAATTTCCCAACAGTTAGGTCGCAATACAGTTTTCTTTATGACATTTCACCCCCTGTGCCTAGGTACGCAAATGGACTTTACCTACGATCAGATTTTGATGAATTCATTCATTCAACGGACTGGCTGTATAAGATAATATGAACCAAAAAAAAAAAAACCGAGGAATGGACTGAATTTCACTTGCAGAGGGTGGAATATCAAACAATTGCAGAACTTTGCCATTAAGTCTACCCTTACAATCGTCCTTCACTACTATGCCTGAAATCAATACAATTTCAATAAAATCTGTAAACAGACAAAAGTCCTGCATCAATAAATGGCTATAAAAGGAGGCATTTACATAATGATAATTCAGATTCATACTGCTTAATGAAAATATAAGATCTGCTCACTAAGAACTTCTTTCCACAGATTGAGACCATTTGATAGTTGACCTCACCAAAGCATCAATTGGATCAATACATTTCTTAAGTAGAGGGTCATCAGGGGGTAAAAGCTCATGCATGTCATGAGATGCAATGATGACCATGTTTACGGCCCTCACTAACAGAACCTGAAGCGCAATTCTTAGCAAGTTCCGAGCCCCTTCAATGTCTTTCCTGTCCAAAGCTTCAATGGCAGGACGCACGGTGTGTTCCATGGTTGCTTTATCTGGAAGCACGACCTCAAATCCCTACCAAGGAATTCAGAAGGAAGACAAATTATTGGTATATTATGGTGGTGTTATATTAACCCTGATCACTCATAAGAGCAGGGGTTAAATAAGAGAGATCAAGTGTCACACATTCATAATGCAAAGCTACAAAACCAAATTGTATATAAACCATAAACACACATTGTACTTCAACAGATGCCCCAGAATGCAGGCAAACCAGGGTTAAAAAAAAAAAAAAAATACCATTGTGCATCTTAGAACTTGATGCCCAAGAAAATTGCAGCAACTCATCAGACATCTAACAACAGAAAAGGTTGTAGAGAAAATTCAACACTCGATATAGAACAGAAAACTCTACTCATAACCCTGATGAATATATAGAAAATCACAACAAGATTGCTCAAATTCAAAGTGCTGCTTGTAACTAAAGCAAAAACTTCTCTATCAGAATTGATCAGCATAGAACAAACCTTTTAAACATGCTAAATGTTATGGGAAGCTCAACAGAAAGGGCTAAGCAGTGGTAACGCAAAGGCACTGGAACAAGAAGAGATGTGTTATTTTAAAGACTCATGAGATACTCACATGTATCGTTTCTTTAACAGTTTGACTTAAGTACATTCCAGCAAAACCCAAAACTTATATCCCAATCATACTGCCAGCACATTTCATCATTATAGAGTCATAGACTCCAAGAAGAAAGCAGATGAAAGACAAAAGAACTTTTTTCTTCTTATTTTATACTTGGGGAGGTAGGGTGCGTTGAGGATTCAAGGAATCAAAAACAGGTTTTTCTTGTATACTTCTACATTTGGACATTACATATTGTCTACACATTACTGTGAATAAGAACCTTAAAAGACTAGTGCTCAACATTCTACAAGGTTCAACAATTATGTACGTAAAAGCTCCAGCAACATTAATGAAACTTTTGAACTAAAAAGACAAGTTCCGATTCATACTTATACAACTACAAGTTTCATGCAAGAGTTTAGTTACTTCACAAGATCAAAATACTTCAGCACTTTGAGTTCATGTTTCATTCACGGAAATTATCATGATATGTCAGCTTGCATGATCAGCGCCTAAAATCCTAAAGCAATGCAAATTCTTAGTCATTAATTCAAAACAATATGCAAGTTCCACCTAATTGATAATGGCACATTCCAACAATAAACAAGCTTTCGTAATCAATATTCTCAATCCAGACTGTATGAAGTGCACAGTAAAAGGAGCAAAGCATCGAAACCAATACCTCATTCTGTAGCTTTTCCTGGTAGAACCCTGATTTCAGTACAGCATCACTACCAACCACACCAATCCTCAAAGGACATCCAGTTTCAAGAGGCCTTAACTTGGCTTCCTTAAGTTCCTTAGCCACACACTCAGCCATATGAAGAATGGGCACACTGCATCCATTAGAAACATCAGCATGCCATGAATGCAACAAATGACAAGGCATCACAAGGCACTGGGCACCCCCTTGCTCCAGAAACGCCCTTTTGCGCTTCAAGTTCTCTACAATCAGAGTATGATCCAAATTAGAAGGCCTCACTTGAACATACAACGAAGGAAAAGAACTTCTCTCATAGATCAACAACTCCTCCATCAGCTGCGGATCAGAACAAAGAATGAAGGGAGGACAATCTTTCCCCTCCTTTGATCCCCAACGAACAAACTTATTCACGAAATTTAATGTAGAATCAAGAGATACTCCTCCTATCACACCAATTGCATTTCCTTGGTTAAGTATGGAACTAGTACTAAAATCTTTCTTTGATAAAGACATGTTTGGAACATAATTTCCCCCACATTTCAAAGAGTTGTCACTTTCACCAGTGTGCACAAGTATTGAAGAAGGGGGAGTAGCTAAAGCAGGAATTACTCTTGAGCTTTTTAAAGTGCCATGTTTATATATCCTCCCTAAAAAATGTATTGGACAGTTCAATGTATGAAAAGACATTGTCATAATTCCATCAAACATCTCTTATATACCATTCATCAATCAATTGCTTGCATCTATAAACCAATAACCTTAATCAATACCCAAGTGTTGCAGTTCGATTGCTCGAATCCTAACACCAAGGCATCAAACACCTACTTCTAGGTTTGCCTCAAATTACTATAAAAAAGCATTCCTTCACAATCAAAGTTTCATGAATGTGTATATGAAAAAAAGACATTTCTACATCATCCAAGCAAAACCCACTTCAGAAACTATTTGATTTTACCTGTAAATCACTCAGAAATCTGCTACACTGAACAAACCCCACTTCAGAAATCTGAAATTTGCTCCAAAGTTCTTATCTTGTTGACAGCACTGTAATTTGATTACAAAACTAGTGCAAGCAATCTGCAAATTGGGAAAATCCAACTCAAATATTTGAATTTGAACCCTACCCAAATTCTTTTCCTGTAATATTGATCCCAAAACTAGTACAAACACTCAGCAAATAAAAAATTTGAGAAAACCCAATTAATTTTTTAAGAATTGAGGCCTTTCCCAAGTTATGAAAAAGTGCCCAGAAAAAATGACAGTAAATTGATAGAAATTTCAAAACCAGAAAAAAATTGTGGCTCTCTATGATGTTTTTGTCATGATTTTTGAGAACATGAAGCTAAAATTCTCACCTTTCATTTTCAACATAAATTAAAGGGAAATTGGAAACATAGGACAACAAAAGGTGGGATCGTGATGGGCAGATTGATGAGAAATTAGGAGAGAGAAAACCTGTGAAAATGCCATTAAATTCACACCAAACATTCTAGTCATGGGGATGGTCCAATACAGAGAGCCAAAATCAGATTTGAGTTTTAAATGTGTAATTAATAATTAATCAATGTGATTTTTGGCTATATATGGTAACAAGAGTTGCAAAATAATTGATGATCATATCATATTTGTTCCAACTTGAGCAATTTTTGATATGGCCAGTTGGACAATGAATGATTGGTGCCTTTGATGGTAATGTGACTAATGTCATTGTGACTTGTTAAGGTAATGTAGCATCAAAATAACAAGAATGAGAGAGATGAAGATATACAATTTAGGTCATGTCTTGACTTGCGTGTCTAAGTTTCGATACTATCAGTAGGTCCGACTCGCTAATTACGGATCATATTCCAGTTTATGAATGGACAACCTAGACGAGAAATGACACATCCTAGTTGTATATCGGTTTGTGCTTATGCCTAGTTCATTATCATATTTATGTCTATAAAAAAATTAGCTTAGGTATGACTTGTGACCCAACACGATTGATAATACATCTCGACAATGCCTTTGTCAACTTGCTAAACTCAATGCCATAGTCACTCGCTACCACTATGTATTTGAATTTATATATCTTTTGCTAGTGGGTAATTTATCCACCGAGTAGAGAAAGTTCATTTAATTCATGGTCATCATGGAGATGGATCTTCTCTAGTTTTCTCTAGTCACTTAACCACTTAAGCAAGGGAATGTCTTCATGCAACATGTTAAGTTGTTAGTTTGTCACAGATTCCTCACTTGCTAAAAACTATCAGTAAGGAGAATAAAATTGTTATCATCATTATCAATTTATCCCTTATAATCGTCTATCAAATGAACCATCTTTATCAATCTTAACTCGCAAATCACTAGTGTAAAGAAATGAAGCTTGCACCCCAATGGTAATAGCTGATATGAACGCCTACCCAAACTCAAAATTTTCAATGAAAAAAATTGCAAACTGATGTTGTGTTTCACTGCTAAAATATATGCCATCACACAAAAATGTGATAGAAGATTTGGATTTGTAACAATTTTCGCCTTCCAAATAAAAAAGAAACCTAGAAATCAACCAGGAAAAACCCCAAAAACTAGAAAATACTAACAATAAATGAATAAAATCATACTTGTACAAAAAAAGCAGAGGAAAATTCAGTAAAAAGTATTTTTAATTCCTTGTTGTGCAATTTTTGTAGACCTAGGAGTTGTAGCAGTACTGCTAACATAATTGACATTCCATTCAAGCCTCTTCATCTCCCTATCCTTCTTCCTTTTCTTTATATGCTCATCCAAATCAACTGCTGCTGTTGCTAATTGGTGTGCTTGAAAGCTCTTTACGACAGCTCTTACATCGCTTCTGATAGATGATAACGCGGTAAAGAGAGCTACTAACATGATTGGAGAAACTTCAACTGACTGACAATAGTCTAAACAGGTAGATTTTTGCCTCATGATTTCCTTAAACAAGCCCCATATAAGCAGCAAACTCCCAAATAAGCTTAATCTGCCATTCTTCAGCAGACCGAGTATTGCCCCAACCACACAGAAGTAGCTCCCTGCTAGAATCTGAATCACAGTCCTCAGAAAATTGTTAAGAGTTATTATCTGTTATACTGTCATAGGAATACAGCAAAAATGAAAACATCAGCAGCACTAACGCGGTGATTAAGATTAAGGTGTCATTCTTTTCACTTAAATTCACTAATCGAAGGTGAAAAGAACAAAATCTAAGTCATATGATGATATCAGAAGATCAATAGTACAAGTTTAAATAGTAATTAGTAGTAACAAACCTCAAGATGCCTAAGATCAATGATTGCAGAAGCCTCTTTCACATGAGTAAAGTTATATATTTCTAGCAAATCATCATAGTTGGGGATGTTTATACCATTAATAAGAGCATTAACAATAGCACCCGGGTAAAGAAGGATCTTCACAAATGAAACAGGCAAGACTTCGCTTGCTATTAGCTGAGAAGATGTTACTTGAACCGGAGTTATGCATATTCCACTTCGACATGGTACCCTGTAATTCATAAGCAAGAATAATATTTCTCATGATTCTAGGATTTGGCCATTGTATATGTTGTACTCAACATTTTTCTAGCTATAAACTCAATGTCAAGAAAACATTCATCAAAATATCCAAATATGTATTTTTCGAAAATTCTAAATGTCTTCAAATTGGCATAGCACTTGTTAGATTTTTTCCATCACCTAAGATAGGTAACTATATGAATTGAATTCCAATTACTTTCTCATAAGCCTCATTTTTGGAGGCGGAGAATTTATTAATACAGAAGTATATGATTTCACCATTTCCATTCTATTTCCGCACCACATTAACATTATATGAACAACTTTAACCATTAGCTATAGATGGAAACATGTTACAACAATTATCCACCTTAGTTGATGCTAAATAACACACAATCTTAACACATAAAATGGACATTGATCAATTTCTTAACTATAATAAGTCTATAAACGCGATTTTATAAACAAATTTGAACATTGTGACTATTGTAGCAACAGTTATCGTGTCAAATTGATTATAACTACGAATAGATGTAAAAAAATCAGTGTATGTGTACCTGAAAAGTGGGACTTGAAAGATGATGAGAAGAAAATAAAGGCAAGAAGAAATAGAAGAAATGGATTTTGCCCATTTTCGAGATGATTTCATGTTTGTTTTTTGCATTCTTCTGTTATTTTTGAGGTTCTTTTCTTAGTAACTGACTTTTAGTGGACCAGCCCTTTTTTCAACCCATATTTGGTAAGTCAACCTCTTCATGGATGGTTAGTGGTTCTGCACTTTCACGATCTATGAGGCTTTTCCACCAATATTAGCCTAACACGTGTCATCTTATTAATCATCGATTTTCTTTTAACCAAAATCTTACCTTGCTCTATTTAAGGATTGTTACAATTATTTCCCTAAAAAAGGTATATTGCAATTATAATTCAAAAATAATATATGAGGTATATTACAATGTGATTTCATAAGTTGCAAACATTTAGCATTAGGAAGATAAACTTGTGTAATCTTATGAGGATGGTCATATGACTTGTCTTACTTCAAGAGGGCCTATAGGCTATATCACAATGACTTTATAAAAAACTACAGTGATATCAAGCATAATCCAATAGTTACTATTGCGACATTAAAAGTTAGCCATGTATCGATTACAATAATACGGAGTACTAGTAATTTTGTTAGGATTAGGCTTAAAGTATGAACCTCTAATAATGAGGATGGTCAAATTACTTGGACTACTTCAATTCAACGAATCAGGCCACATCCACAATGGGTTTTAAAATGTAGTCTATTATGTAAATCAAGTATTTAGTTGGTTTTGTTAGGTCTATACAACAATGATTCATACTATATTTCGTAATGGATGCACGCACTAAGGTAGCCATAAACTCGTGGTTGGGTGGTCGTGATTTGGGTTGTCGTGGTTGGGTGGTTGTGGTTAGTGACCGGGAAATATGGAGGAGAACGAAAGAGAAAGGAAGGATGAATTGAAGGAGAAAAAAAAAATAACCTGTTTAACAGGTTCAAGGTCAAATGGATCTGTGGGAGAATGTGGGGTATAAAGGTTGGATTTTTATGAGATTAATTGAAGGTTGGATTTTTTTTGTCAGACCGCCAAAAGGTTGGATTTTTACTTTTTTAGTTTCCATTTTTTTCAAAAAAAAAAATCTAAATAATCCATGATAATCACATCACATTAAAAAGAAATAAACAAAAAAAAAAAAACCTAACCAACATCTAGAAGAATGCATAATAATTATTGTTTTATTTAGCCATAAGGATGTCATTAATATTTATAATAGATTCAATTTGTTTTAGCATACAATTAATTTTCATTCACTAATTTGTGCAGGTTCTGGTCAGCCACAACCTCTGGAAGGACAAACAGTTTACTGTTGTCTTACATATAAATGTTATTGTAGTCAAGCCGCTTGCTGCCAAGATTTCAATTATGGTCATTGTATGAAGTCATGAAGTAATCATACATTTAGAGAATTAGAGCATAAGAGTAATCCTTGTAATAAAATGAGGAAAATTTCTCATAATCATTTTGTATTTCCCCTTGATCGGTTATCATTAGAATTAGTCATTATGATTATACTTTTCTTTTAAAAGTTAATTTGTTTTCTATGAACAAATTGAACTTCATTTAGCACTTTTAAAAGCTTGACAATCTTGCTTATCTTGTTTGTTATACAATAATTATGTGTTTCCACCACAAATCACAATTTACAAAATTTACAAAATCATATCAAGTAATAGATAAGTGAGAATTTAAACTCAAGTCAACAAAGCTCAAGTCCAAGTCAAAAGTACAAAGCCAGCATTGAGAAGCAGTTTACTGACCTAAACAAGCAACTAGGCTAGATTAGGCAGCCCAACTCCACATGGGGTACAAGTGAAGAGTTTGGGCTGTTGCAATTTGTTTTATTAGACCGCTTATTTCATCAGTTTTGTTTTTGTTGGGTTTTGATATGAAAATTTGATGTTTTTCTAGACCTGACCAAGGATAGCCCGACCAATTTTGGGAGGGTTTTGGTAAGATTTTTCCGACCCAGAATCGGATTGGGCCTAGCTCGGACCGAAATTTAATTTTTTTGGGCAAGTTTGGGAATGCGGTTTTATGCATTTTTAGTTAATGTTTTTGGCCCGGCCCGAAAAGCTCGCACGACCCGACCATTTAGGAGGGTTTGCGCATAAATAAAAAATCCGGCCTGAAAATGTATAATTATGTTTTTCTTTATGTATTATGCTTGTAGATGCTTATTTAGGTGCGAAGGGATATGATTTGTGAATTCTGATATATGGTACCTAAATCCCTATAATCGGGTAGGTGATCAGGTATCATTATAAAAGTAATAGTTATCCGATCCGAGCCAATAAGAAATTCTTATTGTGTTACTTAATTTCAATGATAAGTAATATTATTATTAATTTGGTCAGCATGCATCTTGTTGTGGTGTTGTTGTTAATTAGTCTTGAATTAAATGATATCATAATACTTATTATTAACTAAATAATAAAATCTTAATTTTAATTATTAGATATCATATTAGGTATTCGATAACCAATCTGGTACTCGAAGTTCGAGCAATCGAACTTATCGGTTCGATTCATGCATGGATATCATTTTTTTTTTGTTATTGGCTACCTGAATCCATAGTGATATTGTGATAACGATTCGGATACCTAACTCATGCTCATCCCTAATGGAAGGGATGTGTTTTGTGTTTGGGGGGGGGGCAGTGAAAGGGGAGTGGGTTTCATGATGGGAGATATGTTGGAGGTGGTAAGGGGGCCTTTGGAGGTGATGCAATGGTGATGTGTGGGCGGGTTGATGTTTATTTAATTAATTAAGGTTTAAAAACCTCTAATTATAATTTGGTTGAATAATAATGTCATTAAGATAATTAGTATCCGTCAAAAAAAAAAAAGATAATTAGTAGGTTGATTAGAGAAAAAGATAGTTGTTGTTAGAATTATACTTTAACATTTTAACAATATACAAAGTACAGTTTTTTATGGGTAGTAATTCACAAATGACATTTTTAAGGTTAATAATTTTAAAATTTTAAAATTATAATAAAGTTCTCATTTTTTATACTAAGCAACAATCATAACAAAATAACTCTATTTTATTAAGAAACAACAGAATAAGATTACACGAGTATACAACAGTACGTTTACGTATATATGATTATTGATTATATGGTTCTTGTTAAGCTTAATTATTGCGAAGCTAGTAATTAATTAAATAATACACCATTAAGTACTTATTTTGCTTATTACAAGTAGTGATTTGGTTCTTAATTATACATTGAGTCATTGACTTCTTTTTGGATTTTTAAAATCAATTTTGACACATATATAAAAGATAATGAAATAATAGTACAAAGCTACTTTCTGCCTTAACTTCTTGGGTGTTTGATTAGATCATCAAGCTTTTATACTGTTAATAACTTTATAATTATAAAATATTAATGATAATATGGTACACATTTGCAGAAAATGGATCATAAGGACAGATAGGAGCATAAAAACAACTAACATTTATTTCGCTAGGACGAGCATTATAAAAGTAGTGACCATAATTTCATAATTCACTAACATAACAGTAAGTTGTAACAAGTTGGCCATCTAATTAGCATCAAGCAAGTGATTATTGTCAAATTGTCAATTCAGCCTTGATATGCAATACACCATCAAGTAACTAGATTGTTCGATAGATTGTACGATGAAATAAGGTATGATTCTCCCATGATTATACCAACTATTACTCGAGAGCAAGATTGATTTCAATGCAATCATATTAATATGGGCAACTATTTTACTTGGGAGAGCCATCATCAAACACAAAATAGTACTATTGAAGAAAGATTCAATCTTTATTTCATCATTCAGTGAAAATAACGGCGCAGCCAGAAATATTTCCTTGGTCATGCCCTAGGAGGATTCTCACGTTCATATTTATACCACTAGTGGAAAAATTGTCATTCGTAACAGGCTATTTGTGACGGGCAAAGCTATGCCCGTTACATAAAATATATCCGTAACGGTCAAAATAACTGTCCGTTACAAATATATAATATTCGTAACGGGCAAAATATTGCCCGTTACGAATACTTAGTTATTTGTAACGGGCAAAATATTGCCCGTTACGAATACTTAATTATTCGTAACGGACACCATGTGCCCATTACGAATACTAAGTTCCTGATAGTCCACTAACTTCGAAAACTTGGAGCAAAATAATGAGGCTTACCTAATACCCACCCATGTTTCAACTTAGAAAAGTAATTAAAAGCAGGCAACTAACATAATCTCACAATAAGTTACACGTGGATATCTTACAAGCCAGCCTTGGACCCAACGACCATCATTAAATTGTACAAAAAGAACATGATGAATTAGCAAAATGGATTAACAGCTTGGACTCAATGTTTCCGTCGAATTATTAATTGATTAATGTTTATTGTTGTTGTTGTTGATGTTGTGCTAGGGAGTGAAATTCATGGTTGAACTTAAACTATGTTGTCTTATGCAGTGGACCCAGAGAAGATGCAACCAGAATTGGTTCTCCTGGTGTTGTTAGGCGTCAAGCTGTTGATATCTCTCCACTAAGGCGTGTTAATCTGGAAATCTATCTTCTTACTACTGGAGCTCGTGAGAGTGCTTTCATGAACATTGCCGAGGGCCTTGGTGATGAACTCATCAATGCCGCCAAGGGTTCATCCAACAAGTAATTTCACTCTACCCGTAACCACTGTTGATGAATTAAAAAAATCATTAATGTTGCTACTTGGGCTTTAGTCAATAAGCTGTCTGTTTTGATGAATGCTCTATCGTTAGCTGTGTATGCTCGTTGATGTATGTGTGGGAAACTGACTAGCTGTACAGTTTTTGACATGCTGAATTCAATGTTGAAATGTCATTGTTTGAAAACTGTAGTATTTTATTGTATGTATTCTAGCTTGAATTAGTAGGGAACTAGGGAGTAGGGATAGATCAAGGTGCTAGGCTGCATTATTTCTTATTGGACTGGTTTCATGTAACGTCGTAATTCTTAAGTAATTGCTTCATGAGCCATGTATTAATGCTACGAGTATAAGATTATATGGTAAATTTACTCTCTATATTTATTTATTTAT